GCTGGATGCATTTAGATGCATAGTGGGTGAATGGGTATTGATGGCTGTGTCTGATCTGGAGCGGAGAAAACAACTACTGTGCAAGGGAAGGAAGGGTGAGAATCCATCACGAAGGGTAGGATTGCAAAGACGGCAAGATATAGATACGGGGACAGGCAACTAGTTTTGCTTTTCTTGAATTGGGACCCCAATATCCCTCAGAAACTGTTAATAGGCGGATAGGTCATTGTAACAAACCCTCAGGGATGTTTCACCTACTCCCACGTAGGAATAGATCAAACCCATTTGCCTGTGGAAGAATGAAAAAATCTGTGATGAGACTTACGCTCATGGTTCTGGCCATAAATAGTGACAGAGTGTGGAATTGTATGAAATAAGGCTGGACAAAACCTCAAAAGACTATCTCCCTGTCCCATGCAATATCGCAAAATTGACAAAGATTCCTGCAGGCTTCTTCCCTAGGAAAGGATGATAACCCAGGGTTTCTGGTCAGAATCCAGCTTTGATTGGAAAACAGCACGATGAAATCCCCAAACATCATAACTATATCTGTGTGAAGCACCATAAAGGAACCAAGCTAATTAGGTCAGTACAAAGCCCACATAACCTCAGAGAGGTTTCAATCTCCCTCTTAGCTGGATCCTTTATGCTGGATCTCATTGGAGACTCACTCAAGTACAGCAGCGATGAGAGCAATAACACGTACGTGAGAGAAGAGTTCTCTATATCTCATATATAGAAGGGGTTCTCATATTACTGAGACTTCATTATTTCTGCAAGCTACAGTAAAACACATTTGTAGGTATTCTATAAGGAGTTGTAAATAATGAAAATTAAACTACCATTGACTCACTGAGTAGAGCACATTTCAGGCGATGTTTTCACTGAAAAAGCCCTATGACTTGATAACTGGTAAAATTTGGGGATTTGAGGTGTGCATCACGGCTGATATGAGTAAAAGGCAAGGGTGGAGGGTGTTATTTTCAAGGGACTGAGTCATTTGAAAGCGTTTAAGTAACAGAATGAAACTACACACACAAAATGAATCAACAAGAGTCTGCTTTCGAAACCCTGCTACAGTTTAAATTGGATTTCAGCTCCTCTGCAATCTAAACCGGCTCCCCTCATAGTCAGCAGGCAGGCCTAATTATTTATAATTACTGAAGACGACTGGGATGGGGTTATGCTCTTCCTTGACACAGTTGTTTGCAGTGAGTATTTTTGCTTTCCC